AAATGAGAGTTAAGGGTGGTAAAATATTTTAGAACCGGACCTGTAGTCTTTCTGGTGCCAGCTCTCTGCTGACTGTCCTTTCAGCTTTAACTACAAGCATTCCATTCAGATAGTTTGAGACTACAATCCTCAATCCTTAACCCTCCATATACTTAGTCCCCCCTCCAGACAGCTGCTGATATCATTTAGTTTCACCCTCCCTGGAATAAAAAGTGAAGTAAAGCTAATATTTCCCTTAGTTTCAGCCCCTGGGCTTTTTCTCATGCACAATTATCTAAAAGAATTTATTTCAAAAAGAATCGTCAGCAAAACTTTCTTTCAGAAGTTAACCCATAAGAAGATTCTTTTCTTTTTTAAAAATTTCTTTTAAATTTTATTCATTTGTTGAATCTTTTATGTTTATTTTGCTTTTATAACCCTACACTGGAAAAGCCCTAGGATAGCAAAAGCAATACTGGGCAACAAAAACAAGGCAGGAGGCATCACAATCCCTGACTTAAAATTATACTACAAAGCTGTTATGATAAAATGAGCATGGTACTGGCAAGAGTACAGACCTGAGTATCAGTGGAACAAATGAGAAGATGCAGAGACAACTATAAACACATTCAGCCATCTTTGATGAAGGGGACAAATATGTTCACTGGAAGAAAGACGGTCTGCTTAATAAATGGTGCTGGAAAAACCGCACCATTACCATGGTGCAGAAGACTAAAACTAGAGAAACATCTATCACCATTTACTAAGCTAAAGGCAAAGTGGATCAAAGATAAATATTCAAACAGAACACAGGTGCAGGAAAAGACTTCATGCACAAAACACAGGTTGTAGGGGAAATATTTCAAAGCAAGAACAACTAAAATATCACTTTATTGAAAAGTTTTTGCACAACAAAAGAAATTGCCAACAGAATAAAAAGAAATCCCATGAATTGGACAAAAATTTTAGCCAACTCTCTCTTAGGTAAAGGACTTCTATCTAGAAAATATAAAGAATTTTTAAAAACTGGGCCCCCAAATTCAGACCCAATAAAAAATGGGTGTCTGAGATGAATATACCCTTCTCAAATGAAGAAATATAAATAACAAATAAACATATGAAAAATGTTTAACATCATTAGTCAATTGAGAAATGAAAATTATTTATTTATTAGGTACAGGGTCTCACTACATTGCTTGTAGTGATTTTCCTGTCTCAGCCTCCCCAGTGCTGAGATTACAGGTGTGTGCCAACAGCAAGCCTGGGTTCCAGGGCCAGGAGGGCATGTGGTACCAGGAATTGAATCCCTGTCTTTGCACTTGCCAGGCAGGTGCTTAGACTGCCAAACTATTTCTTCAGCCAGAGAAACGCAAATTAAAACAACATTAAAATTCCATCTTACTCTAGAAAGAATGGTTATGATTAAGAAGTCAACCAATAACAAATACTAGCAAGGCTGTGGGAAGAAAAGAAGACTCCTAACAAAAATAAGTAGCCAAACAAGGAATGGAAGGAGGAGAAAGGAAGAAATGGAAAAAAGATTTGGAAAAAAAAGTGAGAATTGAAGGAAAAAATGGAAACTAAGCTTCAGTAAATGGGGGAAGGGTGGAAGGGAGGGAGGGTAATGGGAAACAGAATTGAAAAACATGGCGTATAGTTGCAAATTCCCTGGGACGAATGTGCTCACTATATGCTAGACATGTACTAATAAAAAATAAATTTAAAAGCAATGAGAACCCAGGGGAGAAAAGATATTCCAGCAGAAAAAACAATTAGTGAAAGACTCTAAGGTAAATTAAATTGGTATATTTGAAACATAAATGAGATTTTGTTGTTGTCAGAAAATAAAAGAAAGGATATTTAGAACGTACAAAGTGCAGACTGGAGAGAGTAAGTATGTCCCTAATTATACAAGGATTTGTATTTTGCAATAAATTGTTTGGCTTTTATTAAATTGAATAGAAAGCCACTGAAGGGCTTTGAAAAGAAAAGAGATGTGGTGTGGTTTACGATAAAAGCCATCAGTAAAGTAAATGGATGATCCACGGTGGTAATAAGAGTAGGAAGGTTAGGTAGAGGCTGTCGCCATGGTGATTGTGGAATGGTACTTGGAGCCATCAACACAGAAGGCAAAGTGAAGATTGATGCCCATTCCTGATAGCTGCCCTAGAAGAAGGGGTGAAGAAGAGCGGAATCAAGGGTGATGATTTCCAGACGAGGACTTCAGCCAAGCTGAAACCTGGTAGCCGAGATGGGAAAAATGAGAGAAAAGCAACTATCGCCTGAGACTCAACAATTGTTAGCTCTGGTTTACCACGTTGTGTTTGTGATATTCAAATTTAAATGGCTATGTAAAGAAGTAGTTAATTATAGCTGTCTGATCTCCAGGAGAGAGGCCAATGGGCGATAAAGATAAAGCGAAGGGGAGTCGGACTGAGCTGTCTAAATCCTCCAGTGATATTTGGAGCCAGAGGAGGGCCACTGCAAGGAGCTTAGGCAGCGGAACAGCAGTGAGGCAGGGGAAAGCCACAACGACCGCCTGTCACTACAGCAAGGGCGTCTCCTCAGGCTCCCCGAGGAGATGAGACAGAACAAGAGGCCTATGCCAACATGTGCCAGGACTGGTTCTCCCAGGTTCTTAAATAACACTGGTAGAATGCAAGCCCACAGCACACACCTGAACTTTTATTCAGGATGATTCTCACCACTGCTTAGAGATTCTGAGAATATTTAAGAAATAATCAGATTTGAAATAGATCTTGAAGGAAAGAAAACTAATCCTAACAAAGATAGTTGATTATCTTTGTTATCACTCAAAAGTTTAAACCAAAAAGCTGCATTTATTTCTCTTCTGGGATGAGAAACAGAATTTCTTACAAGAAAGAATATTCTAATATTGTGCTCACCGTAATATTGCTGCTACCGGTGGAAGCCATTCAAGGAGACTTGTTTCATACATTCATAAATTCAATAAACTATTTCATCTCAGAATAACAACCACACGCTTTTTGTGAGTTCTTGTAGGCTGCAGAACATTGTGACTTTTGCCCGGTCCTTGATGACAGGTACTACATCTTAGCTGCTTTTTAACCCTTTCACATAGCGAATGCATAAGTACTTGTTAACAGAATCATCAATATACTGCAGTATTTTATGATTAATGTCTTTATAATCTTCTCATCTGAACAGCGACTAACACTCTATGTTGCTCACACCGGTAGGCATGGAAGCCAGGAGAAGCTGAAAGACAGAGCCACAAATCAGAAATAAAACCACACGTACAACTAGTCTGGTGGCTTGTGAGGCCACATGCTCGTGAGGTCCACCTGGCCACAGCACATCATCCATCCCACAGCTGCCACCATCCTGGTCGTCACTGGGCTCATCCCTGAAGAGCGCGTGCCCCTGGTCAGCCTGACGTGTGGCATACAAAGGCTCGATGTAATACCTTTGGTCTCCTTGGCTGAAGTAGCCCCTGAAACACACAAGAATTCAGCTTCTGGGGAAATGTTCCCCCCCATCACATGGTACAGATTCATAAGCTCTAGAAAGGAGGTCACAAAATTTCTGGTTAATTTAAAAACAGTTTCAAATCCTGGGGATAGACTACAATGAAACATAGCTGGAAATGCCTTTCAGGGCTATGACCTAAACTTCCTGTCTCTGAAGAGAAATAGCACCTGTTAAGGAGAAGTGACTACGGAAATATCAGCCAACCATGCACTTCAGTCTAGAAGAGATACTTCCTGTCTCAGCTCAACATTCTTCCAATTTTCATCTAATCTAAGTGTGTCTAATCTAAAAGTGCATGAAAAATTGACCATGTTTTGGAATCTTACACAAAAGTGCTATAGTCCTAAGCCTGTCCCTTATTATCTGTGAAAGGAAAATTATCTAAATTAATTTAATCTCAGTTTGTCCACTGATGATACCTGCTCATATAATAACACTAAAGGCTGAAAGAGATAATGCATGAAGGATGAGACAGGCAAACACCATTAATTCATTTTCTACTCCCTAAGCTGCGATCTTGGGCTAAGACTCATTGAACTAATTTTCAGTGAGCACCCAATATTAAATAGCCAAGACCAAAGTCAGAGAGTAAAAAAAGAGTCATAGTTTCTTCCCTCAGAGAGCTTCAACTGCAAGGAGAAAAGTAGATGTATATTAAATAAGAATACATAATTACATGGGAAATGACATATACAATTGCAAAAACTAATTAGTACAAAGAAAAGTACAAAAGCATATAAAGTGAGACTACTTTAGTGCACAGAATCGGAAGATAGAAAGGGTGGCTGCAGGGAGACAAGCTGCAATTATCTTATTTGTTTGCAGTAACTTGCATAAAGGGGCATGACAGCTGAAATAGGTCAGGGCAGCAGGAAAACAGTGTAGGAATGCTCTCAGGACAGATTTTGAAGCTGTGATCAATAGGTCTTGGTAAGGGATTGACAATGGGAGGCAACACAGAGTTCACAAGGAAGTAGGTTTCCGGATTGGACAAGTGATTACTTGTTCCTGTGGCCAAGATTCAGAGAACAAGAAAAATTTCTCAGATAATCACTAGTTTGGTTGGTGGCATTGTCACATGGAAATTCTTTATGGTGTCCAACTGGAAATCAAAGAACAAAGATTAGCTGATCGAGTCTGAGCATTACAAGGGATTCTTATTGTTGGCAGATGCATAGGAAGTCATTAGCAGACGGACATGGACACAATAGGCCTGGTGAAGACAAGCTAGCAAGAATTGAAGTTGGGGAGAGGGTGGAAAGGAATTTCCCTCAGTAAAGATTCTGACTCTAATACCAAATGTCAAAAGTCTACATTTGGGCCTCGGAGATGGCTCAGTGGGATAAGCGCTTGCCTTGCAAACACAAGGGCCTGAGTTCAATCCCTGGTTCCACAGGAAAAAAAAAAGCCTACATTTTTAAATTAATCAAATACAAATAACTCTCTCTCTCTCTCTCTCTCTCTCTCTCTCTCTCTCTCTCTCTCTCTGTATGTGTGCAGGGTCTTGCTATGCAGCTTGTACTCCTAGTGATCCTCCTGTTTTCAGCCTTCTTAGTGCTGGAATTACAGGTGTGCACTACCTTGCCTGGACTCCATCACTGGCTCAGCGCATGCGGAGGCGGGGCTAGCACGGCATGAGGTGCCAGGGATCAACCCCTGGCTCCTGTATTTAGTCCACTGAGCTATGTTGCCCACCCTAAGAAAGAACTTTTTGTTTGTATTTAGTACAAGGTCTACAGGGTCTCACTATACAGATTGGACCTGTAGTGATCTTTCTGTTTTCAGCCTCCCAAGTGCTTGGATTACTGGTGCGCACCACCACACCCAGTCTCAATCAACATCTCAATGCGCCTAGGGGAGAGGGATGGCATGGCATGTAGAGAGTGGGGGTTGGAATCAAACCCCAGCCCCTGTGTCTGCCTAAGCAGGTGCTTTAATCTGTTGAGATATCTGGCCAGACCCCTACAAACAACTTTTAAAGCAACACGGGTATGCAAGTCATTGGCCGGTATAAAGAGAAATGTTCTTCAAATTCAAAATTTTCTACCCTTTAGAATTCATGCTCACCTATTGTAGGAATAATTACACTTAGGACTCTTTGGATTAATTAGACTCACACTATTATCCCTGGTATATATGAAACTTAACGAAGTCTTACCTTAGGCCCCTACATGTGCTGATGCTGGCATCAGAAATCTTTTCATTCATGATGTGTCCTTGGTAGTAACAATCATCCTAAAAAAAAAGGGAAAGGATTTTTGTAGAGGGGGGGTACTCATGGTTTTCAGACTCACTTATACACTTGAATTTGAAATCTTTTTTTAATTAATTTTATTGAGAAACAAATAGCGATGAGATAGTTTCAAAATGAAGAGAGGGCAAGGAGAAAAGCTAGGAAATATGGCAGGGGCAAAACTGTATATTTGTATGCATTAGATGGTTAAGGCAATGATCCTGAGAACCTTCAGCAGGTTTTTGAAACTAGCAGTTAATTGGTAGGATTCTCACCCTGACTAACTATACATGCTGATACCTGTGAACCAAGCAACTGCACTGAAGATAGCAATGTGTAATACTAGGGCCATGCTTGGAACACCTGTCATTCTGGTCTTCTAAATATGTACTGCTTCTAATGTCATATAAATTACTGTTATACTATCTCTCAAGTGAATGTTTGTTTAAAGAATTTGAAATCTTGACATAAGATTTAGAGTCCTTTCAAAGTATTGTTTGCTAGACAAGAGTCAGCTTAGAGATGTAAAAAAATGATTAAATATAAGGGTTTTTTTTAAATCTTTAATGTATTTATTTATTTGGTACAGGGTCTCACTATGCAGCTCAGACTTGCAGTGATCCTCCTGTCTCAGCCTCCCCAGCGCTGGGATTACAGGCTGAGCCACCATGCCCAGTTTTGGTAGCTGGCACAGTGCTCTGAGTTCTGGGGCCAGCATGACATGAGGCACCATGGATGGAACTGAGTCCTTGCACTTGCCAGGCTCAGACCACCTGATATAAGGGTTTTAAGTGCTAAAGTATTTACTGTCAGTGAATGTTCCCTAATACTTATAAAGTATTAATTACATACTTTTGCTGCTGATATAGGACTAACATGTTAAATGTTGCTTGCAGGAAATGCCTTTAGTGACTGTAAATTTAAAACCTGAGTCCTCCAGATACCTGATATTTATTTATTTATTTATTTATTTAATGCTTTTTGAGACAGGGTTTCATTACATAGTTCAAACTGGTCTTGAGTTTATTTTGTAGCCTGGGCTGGCTATGAACTCATGACAATCCTGCCTCATCCTCTCAAGTGCTGGGATTACAGGCATGTGCCACCAAGCTCATCCAGGCTTGCTTCCTTCCTTCTTTCCTGCCTTCCTGCCTGCCTGCTTCATTTCTTTCTTTCTTTCTTTCTTTCTTTCTTTCTTTCTTTCTTTCTTTCATTCATTCATTCGTTCTTTCATTTGTTTGTTCTTTCATTCTTTCTCTCTTTTTTGCGCTGGGGATCAAACCTGGGATTTTGTGCTTGCCAGGCAGGCATTTACAGGCTGTCATTCTTTAACTTTAGTAACTAATAGTTCATTAATTATTTCCTAAGACCTTCTAGATTTTTCCCTTAATTATAGGCTATTCTATTTTATTTTTGCCTCATAATTTAGCTGAATAGTTTCACCTGAATAAGATGAATTTGCACAGCTTTCACTCCTTTCATTGGCTGACGTTTTCCAAGTGGATGTTCCATGAAGTACTTACCTCATTTAGAACAAATAAGGTGTTGGCCCAGGTAAAGTCTTTTATTTTTCAAGTTTATTGGTACAATTTAGATATACATAAAAATCACACTCAGGAGATTTGTGCCTATATGTGATAGATCTTGACTCCTCTTCTTTCCAATGCCCTCTCTTCAATCCCTTTTCCCCTCCTCATTTACAAAGCTTTCTTTCCATTTTATCCTTCCTCTTAGAATTTTTCCTTTCCCTTCCTTCCTTTTCCGCTTCTACCTCTTTAGTTACTCTTTCCTCTTGACCCTTTTTCCTACTTCATATAATCTATTGTGCATTTTGGCTCTTACTTACTCTTTTAGGTTATAGAGACAGTAGTCAGGACAAATAGACAACAAAAAGAAAAAACATAAGGATAGGAAAGGAAGAAGTTAAATTATCGTTAGTTGCAGAGGACATAATACTCTACATAGAAGACCCCAAAACTCCACCAAAAGATTTGTACATTAAAAACCAAATTCAGTAGTGGAGATGGCTATAAAATTAATGCTCAAGAATGAATAGCTTTCCTGTGCTACGTAGAATTTTATATCATTGTTTAGCAAAAATATTTATAAGGCTCTTGAAGAAAGCCTTGCTGCATGCTGCCAGGTGCTCCTTCTGGAGAGGGGGCCAGATTGGTATCAGTTAAGGAGCATATGAAACCCTACAAATGCCATTGAGGACACAGACTTGAGTTTGAGGGAGGTGATCAGGCCCGGCAAAGAATCCCAAAGGTGTTTAATTCTCCAGGCTACCAAAACTTACCCCAAAGAAAATGATATTAAAGGAAAGGCATGCTCTTTCTGACCACCTATCCTGAAATAAGTAAAAGGTTACTAGGGTTGCCAGGAATGGCTTCCAGCTGAGAAAATGTTAGAGATAGAGAATCAGTTAAGTTATTATCACTGGTGACAAAAGCCTTGCAAGGCTTCAGATGTTGTGTCCTTTCTATCTCACTGGCCAGGACACAGTGACAGGCCTTTGGGTCAGGCGCACATTGACAAGGAACCTGGGAGGCTGGTATACCATGATTTGTGGACTTGTTGTGACCGCCTTTCCAGAGGAATTGTAGTGTGTTTCCATGTAGTTGGAAGCAAGAAGATCCCTAGAGGAAGAAAAACAAAATCTAGTTACTTTCACTAATGTCAAGAAAAATGAGTTCTTTTGTTGATCAAAATGAGTTCTCTCAAGGTGTAGAGAAAAGTTGTAACTCGCCAGTTCCTCCTTCAGACCCGTCAAGACAAGTGCAAGCAGAAAAAAAAAAAAAGGCTGCTTACCTTGGAAGGACCAGCAGGGGAGGGACATTTCTGAGCAGGGTGGAGCAGAGCCTGCTCCCTTGTGGGACTTTGCAGGCTTGTCTGAGGAGGGACTTTATTAAGATGCGGAACTGTCAGGGTCAAAGTTGATAAAAATGAAGGACGTGAGCGAAGAACGCTTCTATCTACACTGGGATAGCTACCGTTTCTCCCAAGTCCTCATTCCCAGTGACCTCAGAGCAACACTCACTGGGACTGGACTCGAGCGGGACAGAAAGGGCCCTTCTGGCATTTTCACTGGGTTTCTTAAAATTCTTTCAGTTAGTGATCAGAAATAGTAGCCTGGGTGTCTGTGTGCTGATAACTGCTCCTCTCCAGGAGTTCAACATCCTAATTTTCAACCAACCTCAGCTGGAACATATTTGGAAAAAAATACTGTATGAGAAGTAATTTTTTTGTTGTCACTATTTCCTGAGTAATACAACTATTTTCAAGGCATGTATGCTTTATTAGCTATATTAAATGATCTAGAGATGACTGAAAGTATACAGGAGGATGCACATAAGCTCTATGCAAATATTATGCAATTTTATGCAAGGAATTTGAGAAATTAGTGATTTGATAACCTTAAAATATTTTAGAACCAATTTTTGAGACTATGGAGAGATGTCTATATATGTGTCTATTTTCCTGTCTTTCTGTGTTTCTGTCTGTTTTTCTGTCTTTCTGTGTGTCTGTGTTTCTGTATCTGTTTGCATGTATATATGTGGCATATACAACAAATTAAAATCAAAGATATTTAAGTTATGTAATGTACTCTGGTTTCTTTTCAGATAGAATGAATCCTTCACTTCTTAGGTTGTATGATGTGACAGTTTGATATAAAAATTCATTATGAAATGATGAGCATAATCAAGCTGGCTATCATAATTTGCCACCTCACATTTGTTTATATGTGTTGGGAATACTTAAGACTTACTCTATGAACGTATTTCAAGTATAAAATACATTATTACCAGCTACGAACACTACACTTCATGGTAGATTTCCAGAACTCACAACTGAAAGTTTGTCTCCTGTGATCCACACCTTCTTCCCTATTTCCTCCTCCCTCCCCTAGTCTCTCCGAGCCTTAGTTTCTGTGAGTCAGACTTCGTTAGAACCAACCCAGAAATGGTGTCATGCAATGTTCTTGTCTACCTAATTCATTCTGTAAAATGGGATCTGAGTCTATCCATGTCATTGCAAATGGTAGGATTTCCTTGTTTGAAATTAAATAATATACCACTGCATGCATGTCTACATATACTACAATTTCTTTACCCACTCACTTATCAATAGGCACTTAAGATGATTCCATGTTGTGTGAATAATACATTTTTTTTTAAAAAAGCAGCAAGTGAGAGGATGTTTAGAGCAGGCAGTGTGTTAGAAATGTAATGTGTAATATTCAATTCAATCCTATGAGAATATTATTTCCCCTATTTTCATAGTTCAAAGAATCATATTCAGAGTGGCCTGAGTCCAAAGTCTATACTAGTTCCTTTATACCACACTGGTTCCAAATTTCAGTTTATTTTGTCTGTTTTCAAAAGATAATAAACTATTTTTTGGAGGAAATCTTGCTACTTTATATGGAATGATAAAGGGATTAAAAGTACAGATTTGGGGAAAATGAGTTTAAAAATAGTCCAGGGATAGAAGGTTCAAGATGTAGGTGAGACTGGTGGCTTTGGGGAGTTAGGGTTCTTCTGGCATTGAAGATGTGTTCAATTCTGATTGATCATATGAAGAGAATGAAGTCACAATAGGCTATGTGATAAATAAGGAAAATGGATGAGTGGATTGCTGGATAGAAAAACCATTGGTGCTGGAGTAGGCTGTAGAAGATCATCTTTCAGTGTTACGGTAGTAAGTTGTAATCATGTAAAGGAGATTTTAAAAGTGATAGAAAATGCATTGAGCTCTCCCCGTGTTATCTTTCACTGGGTAGAATGTATGTCTTCTCCATCTTCATCGCGTCTTAAGTCTAAAATATCAACACATTAATGAAGTTTTGTTTCACCCAATGCATTTCTACTACTTTAGTAGAAACAACTACTCACTGGGGCACATTGAGAGTGAAAGCTGATTGGTGAGAGCCAAAAGTAGTGACACACTTGATTAGCACACTTTCTACAAGCGAACTTCATCTAGATGAGAAGACTATCAGAGTTAAAAACACTTACTTGCTTTTCTTTAAGTAAAGCACTGCAATTTTTCCATTCACTGTCATTTTATACTTTAATTCGGTTTCAAATTGTTCCTGTAAAATCACAAACATTTACTGTGAGTTCAGAAGTTCACATGAGTACGTGCTGGGCTACTTCTGTTGGTTTAGTCACCATCTGGTAATCTGTGCATTTCTTTGCCTAGTCGATGACAAGACCCCAGATATCTGCATCTTCCCCTATGAAGGAATCAAACAATTTTACCAACTAAATGATAAATTGTCTGAGAAATCTATAGCTATTCTTTAAAGGTAAAATTAATATGTTTTGCAAAAATTCATTTGAATCAATAAATGTTTATGGAACAAACATTTATATCTCAAGACAGAGGTTAGGGACAAGGGAAAAAGATGGAAGGACATGTCACAGACGTACGAAACACCATTTTTAAATTAATCCATACAGTTTCAAAACAGAAGAGAAAGCCGAGTGCACTCTCATAGGCTCTCTCTCTCTCTCTTTCTCTCTCTCTCTCTCTCTCTCTCTCTCTCTCTCTCTCTCACACACACACACACACCAAAAAAAAACCACATACCATCACTGTAGATCGAAAATCAGCATTTTTAAAAATAAATCAGGAAGTAAATTGTGAAATTCTGCCTATGACTTCAGCATGACCTGAGGAAAGGCTCTGTTGATACACAAAATATTACATACTAACCTTACAAAACATATAGGTGGGCTACTCTTTTTCTGTTGTGTTATACTTTTTATTTATTTATTTATATTGATTAATTTTATTGAGAAACAAATAGCAATGAGACAGTTTCAAAGCAGGTTAGTAGGACGATTACAATAATTGATACATTGTATATTGTTGTCTTTGTAGAGTTATTCATAGTATAAGATGCAGACATGATATCCTGTCCAAACACTATTAGTTCAAATCTTTCTTCTCATTGAATTAAGAGAAAGTAGCTGTGTCCATATTAATATGCTGAGCTGTAAAAGACTAGCATTGCCATTGTCAGTGGCAAAGGCATTGCCATTGGCATTGTCTATGGATAACCCATAGACAATGGGTTTATGGACTACTGGACTATATTGGATTATTTTGCTGAATTCACACACCTACAATACGTAAGTGGCAAAGGAATACCCATCTCTGACAAAAGTAAACAAGAAAGAGGGATATAAATGAAGGACCATTTTGTAGTGCTCTTTATATATATTAGGATAGGTGGGCTACTCTTTAACTAAATAGTTTAAGTAGCAAGATATCCATGACATGAGACATAGGGATAGCAATAAATATATTGTTAGGAATACCTAGGTTGAGCAGCAAGTTTGTTAAAAAAAAATGTAAGTAAAATCTAGGCATATTTACTGTGCACTGAAGCTATTAAAGTCTTGGAAATAACTCTTAAAAAATGTAATATGATGGGATTCCCAGGGCAAGGTCAGTATAAACTCAAACTTGTAGTTTGAATTTGCATCCTGCCTCACTTCTCATACAATAAATCTCAAAGTTTACATATGATATAAGCAATATCTTTATTAATTCCACATTAAGAAAAATGATGTCAAGTTTCTGTGTCTCTGGGTTTATACAGGGACAACTGGAAAAGCTGAGAAATGAATACCAGCTAATATTCTGCATTAAGACCCCACACACTTTCAGCCCAGCTCAGAAAAGCACTAAGGCTTGTGCAGGAATTTAAGTTAGCCAAGAACTCTACATCTAGTAAGTCTATAGTAAATGTTAAACATGTCATATCAATTACACCCATCTACTCAATTATTTAAAAAATTAATACTTATCATCTAGCATGTGCCTATTCTTGATGTTGTATCAAAATATCTTTTTAAAGAAAAATCTTAAATTTGTTTTTACAGTGGTGGGTAAATCTATTCATACTCATGCTCAAAAGTGCTTCAACCATACCCAAATTTTCAACAAAATATTCAGAGAAAGGTAGTTGGCATTCGTAATAGACTATAATAAATCACTTGAAGAAAGCTACACTGAAGAAGAACCTAGTGAATCAGGGAATGTTGGCTGAGAATTTTATTTCATTAAGTTATAAGAATTGCAAAATTTTTTATTTTATAAAGAAAGTACAAAATAATATTAAAACAGAAAAATTACAGGTGATACAGAATTTCACTTAATAAAGTGATATGAATTTCACAGTATTTGTTGTAATGCATAGTATTGTGTTCCAACCAGTTATTCATATTACCAGATATATGCATGCAAAATGGGAGGAAGAAAGAAAAAACAAAAAACAAAGAAACATATAAGAAATTAAGAGGAGAAACAGTTGAAAAAAGGAGACAAAATAAATTAATCATTATCTGCCCCTTTCCATAGGCCAGCAGAAATTCACGGTACAGTTGTCCAAACCATCCTGTTTATTTACATAGATAAATCTCTTTCCCCCACTCCCTCTCCATTCCTTCCCCTCAACTCAGTAACTCTTTCCTTTTGAATAAGTACTCCCTTTTCCCAGTATCTATTGTATGCTTCAGATTCCATTTTTCTCTTTCAGGTTCTCACACTGAGACAATATGATGTCTGCATGTACAGACCTGATTCATTTCACTTAAGAGTATTGGTCTCTCGTTATATAAAATATTTTAATATTAACAATTAAGAAAAAACAAACTTCAAATTAATATGTGAACATACATTCCCTTACACATTTTTTTCTGTTTTTGAATGGCCGTAATCACATGTGTATGGATAGAGATATATAGAGATAGATAGATAGATAGATAGATAGATAGATAGATAGATAGATTAGATAGGTGTTAGGCAGATAAAAAAGTTGTATATAATTATATAATTATTTGCTGAAATGTTCAGAATAATCATATTAAACTTCATACTCTAGGATAACTGAGTCAGTTTATTTTACTTTTCACAACCTTGATTTGTAAAATAAATATAAGGGTAGAATTTTAGATTATAAAGATTAAAAGAGTGAATGTTAATTACAGATATTATCAGTATTGTTATTTAATTCTAAGGCATGACAATTGAAAACTTCAAAGTTTACTTGCCACATAAGACATATAGAATATATCTATATTGAATTATGTTATATATAATATGTATATCATATAGTATGCATATTTCTTAGTTGTTTTCTCATTGATGGGGCAATATACCTGACACCCATATGTTAAAGTGAGAAAGGTTTATTTAGGTCAAAACTTGTACATGTTCTACTCCTTGGTCGGCTGGCTCCAAGATCAGGTAGCAGGCCAGTGGAGAAACAGCCCACAGCATGGCAGGCAGGCAGCAGGGAGACTCCTTCTTTGGTTTTTCATTCCACTTAGGCTGCAAGACTATTCTTTGGCACTACCCACATTGAGGAGGGGGGCTTCCTTCTTTAGTAAATCCACCATCCACACCCAGCATTCTGCTAAACCAATGGATACACTAACCCAGTATCACACAGCCATGATCCAAGGTTACATGCACATGATTCAGTTACTCCCCAAAACCCCACCTATCAGTATATGATGGGGAGACATCTAGATATAAGGCATAACCACTTGCTTATGATATACACAGACACGTACTTTTTCTAACCCAGAATTGTCTGATAAATCAGAAGCTATACCTGTTTTTCTGGTTCTTTGACTTCTCTTTTGTGTAGTGGATGAAGTCTTACAGGATAAACAACTTCATACTTCTTTGCCTGAGGGAGCTCTTTCACAGCACTTACTGAAGGGGCAGAGAGGGAAAGAGAAGAAAAAGTATACTTAGCAGCAGAATAAAAATAAGCTCATCTTAGTAATGGCAATCCTTATTGTACTCAAAACAAAGGACCCCACACACAGATCTTATGCAGTGTATGCCAGTGATCAGTATGCTTACATCAGGAAAGACAGACAGTATAAAAAAATCTACTCTTTCTCTCAAATCTTTGATCTATATCTGCAAATACTTCACCACTAAAAGATGTTCAGTGTTTCTTGATTTAATGACATTTCTCATTGATTTTTCTATTTCTCTTTATTATCCTGCATCCCCGCTAAGGAGCAGCAGTAGATGCCAACAGGAAGGGGAAGCTGAAGGTAAACTAATCCTCTGAGAAGACAACGAGTCCCAGAATAATGGAAAGGAAGCAATCTAAAAACCATATGTTGTAGAAGTGTTATAGTCTGAGTATACATTTCTGATTCTAATATGAATGGCTTTGTCAATAGCAATACTTGACTACTAAGTCATAGTAAGAACAAGCTCTAGTAGTAGTTCATAGAAGGGGCAGGCATTAACAATACAAATAACCCTTTCATTTTCATACAAAAATATGTAAGAAAAATGGAAATTATAGAAGTAAATGATTTGAAGGGAATCACCCACCTGAAAGGACCTCTCTGAGCAGACACTTGTATTGAAGGAGAATTGGAAGGTCATCCGATGTAACCTACTTATATCTGCACATTGTTTCTGTAAATCTTGTAAAGAGAGAGCAGTTTGTAGTTTCCCCAAAGTCAAAACTAGATTCTCTACTTTCTCGATCTAGTTCCTGCTGTGAGGAAGGCAACAGCTAAGGAAAGCTTACCAGCTGCAGGTCCACCCGGGACAGGGACTGCAGTGGGATTCAAAGGCAGAGGCATCACTCACCCACAATTTGTGAAGATGCAGACTGGAAAGGTCTTAGCCTTTTTATGTAAGGATTACAGGGCTCTCTGACTACAGTATTAGCTTAGTAAAGTCCTGGAATCTAGCTGGGTGTGGTGACTCAAATATTTAACCCCAGATACTTAGCGGCTGAGCAGGTGGCCCTCGAATTTGAGACCAGCCTGGTCAATTTAGTGAGTTCCTGTCTTAAATTAAAAATAGGTGTTGAACTCAGTAGTAAGAATCCCAGGAACCTAGCTCCTACAGTAATACAAATTTATGTTAATGTAATTGACTTAGACAGAACCGACATTTCACTGATCACTGTCCACCAGTCATCCTGGAGGGCTGGATTTTTATGGCTTTAGTTTACTCTAGGTAATAAAACATTTGTGTCTTCAAATTTTCTTTGAAAATTCAAAACTATCAAATAATATCAAATTTTGACATTGTACAATGATTTTAGCTGATTTGCTCCCTCAAGAGCCATTTCCATGTATCTTGGAAAAGCACAAAAGGTGAAGAAACTGCCTAAGAACTCTTTGAGTCTAAAAATGGGATGCTCACAGAAGAGCTTTTCTTTTAGTGACCTGAGAATTACTCTTTTAAACATGTCAAAGACACTTAAAACCATGGTACTGACACAAGTATATCTTAAATTTAAGTTTTATTTGAGTTTAAATGTTTGAAAAGAAGGAGGAAATTAAATATGTCTAATGCTTGATCAAGTATTCTATCATTGCATGCAAATAACTGTACTCTCTTAGTTCTGCAGGGGTCATGGTCATTTGGTTAAATAAATTCTAATGAGTTATAAAATAAGCCTTATCACATCACTGTATTCAAGAATAACATTGCAAGTTTTTTAACTACTTATTTCTTCTTGTCAGGGAGATAATCTCTGATATACTTTATTTTGGTAAAGAAAATATAGGATATTTGTCATAAAACATTTCCAGAACAGACATACAAAAGTCTACAGGAACACTAAATACTGAATTTCTTTCGATCCAATTAAATTTTCATAATTACTTCAGGAAAGTAAGGTGCCAAGGGATTAAAGAAATAGACTCTTGCCAGAATTTAACTGGTGGTATTGACACAATTTATTACTGCTTCCTTTAATTCGATGCCACAAGACAAGAACACTGTAAGGCACCAATGTGCTGCTGGTGTATTGTGGAGTCTAGTCAATACAGTCAGTCCTATTAACATTGACTTGGTGAAGCCATATGTCACCAATATAACCTCAGCAGCTCTTTTCAAAATGTTGCATCAATGGTTTTCATGTGTCATGTATATGATGTCAACAGGACAGATTAGTCTGAGCTCCCTTTGGCTCATGAAACCCTGATTGTCTACCTGGTCCTTGTCTAAAAACAGGAAGTGGTGATACATACTATAATCAGGAATGGTGAGGTGGGAAAGAAGTCCTTCTACTCAACCCCCAGTTTTTATGCTGTGTCCTCTGATCGACACATTTCTAAATAGTTTCTGAATTCACAGATTTTGGGAAATCAAGACTTTCCAATTGACTCTTAAATATGGGCTCAATATGTGTGTGTGCGCTTGCGCAAGCTCCTGTGCGCATGTGTGCATTAGTTTTAAATTTTCCAACACTTTCTTTCATGGTGAGTGCTTCCAAATAAAAACCAAAACAAAGTAAACAAACCATAAATATAGAAAGTATTCCTTTAAGCAACTCTTAGCCACCTGCAAGCAGGCACAGGGGCTGGGGGTTCCATCCCCTGGCCTGTTGTGCTGGTCCCACCCCCAGGTAGCACTGAGACGCAGTTGATACTGGGTGTGGTGCTACGCATCTGCAATCCCAGCTCTTGGGAGGCTGTAAACTGGTGGATCACTCCAAGTCCGATCTAGTAGTGAGACCCTGAATATCCTATAGACCCTTCCTTAAAAATATACAAAGAAAAAAAAGAAAGAAAAGAAACCTTTAGCAACTTCTCACTCTTTGCAGTGTGAAACAAGTGAATATCCAGTTCATTCCACATTCTTTCAGCACAGTAAGTACTCTAAAGAAAGCGGGTAGAATTTCACCTGAAGATCTTGTTTCCCTGAAAGCTAGAAGGCCCCTGAAACAATGAGATCTGAGATACAACAGTTTACCCAGCAGGCACCAATTAGGATGTAGCAGACCTGAACGCTCATCCTCCGGTGGATGCAGTTAGAGATGGCTCCTACCAGATGAATAATCTCAGGTTAGTTGTTTTGAAGCTGGTGGAACAAATCCAGCTATGGGCACCCAGACAGTACACAAACCCACGAGTAACACAATGTATTTCTACTAACTTATTTTAGTAAGTAATTTTTCCTCGCACAGAACTCATATGTTAGATTAGTTTGGCCCCAGCAAAACTACATCAAGGAAAAGAAAATTATCATTGTGGTTTCAGTTGAATAACTGGTTTTGTTGTTCTGCAGGACTACTGCTGCTCATTATTTTTAGAAAAGGCAAAGCTCATTAAAAAGACAAATATAACAGACCTTGGCCTAGAAAGCATCTCGGTCTCTGATGTTTTGCATGCCACATTGGAAATTCAGATGTTTGTATATAATATTGATATTTTCATTTTTGATCAGATTTGTTCAGGGCCTTTAAAGTAATGTCTCTCCAGAGACGTGGCATCAAGCCTTGAAATAAGATTTACATAATGGCATAGACTTAAGTACTGAAAATCTCTATATTCCTTTAAACTCTCTCATGATTTTAAACTTCACACAGTAGATATGAGCAGAAACAGTGAAGAAGATCCATATTGTAATGAAGCCTATCATTTTGACTATTGAGGTTAAATTGAATGTACTGTTTGGGGTTGTCTTGTCCTCTTAAATGGCAAGAAAGAATAGCTAGTTTGAAATAAAGCAATTTCAAAAAGTACTGTCTATTCCTGTCTATTCTGTATTTTGCAAAAACACATGGCTTAGCTCCGCAGTCTAAGTGCCTGCCTGCAAGCTCAAGGACTTGCCTTGTATCCCTGTTACCACATGCTGTGCCA